GCTACTGTTGCCAAAGCTCTCCATGGAATCTGCTACCCTGCAGCACTCATAACCTTGTGGAATCGTCTATTTCCAGTGGTTCAATGAAGAACGCCTTGTTCTTCACAGACTGGAACTCCAGTCAAATTCTCTCGATCTTCAAAACTCTGACCAGATGTAGAGGAAACGTAATTTGATATTTGGATTATAGGAATGGTGTTTTCCTCACCAAAACAATTAAAGTAGACGAATGTTGAAAGATAAAATCGAATGAATTTCTCACATATGAAGCTCTCTCAATGTTCAACCTCTCTGCAATTTTCGTACATGTGTTTTGGTATATATATGTAGGTTATAAAACGAATGGACCGGGTAAAAAGCTTTTAAATCGCGAAATAAAAATTTCCCTAATAATCACGTCGCTTGAGCGAGGGCTCAACTCCAGCATGTCGCTCTTGGCAGTCCAGCGATAATGTTTCTACTTTTGTAGCTCGAGCCAAACCTTGGCGACAATCTAGCGAAAATTCGGGCCGTTTTTCTCTTTTTACCATTCTCGAACCCTAGTCCTAATAACCCTATTTTCAACTATTTGCACATTACTCCTTGAATTTTTAAACATAGTACAATTCAGTCATTTTGTTTACAGAATTGCCAATTACAAAACATCTAAAACCTAACAAACTTCCAATTTGGCGTTCTGTGACAATACTATTAACTAAGTCAAGTTAGTAATCAAACATAAGGTACAGACTCAACACCAGACTGACTTGAACAGTTCTACAGTTTAATCAACACTTGTTTCCTGAAACAAATAATTTGACACTTAGTGTAAAATGTGTGGAAGACAGTATAATAAAACAGTTTAAGTAGTTTAGTGTTAATATGCATGCTAAATCAAGACGTAGTAACAATGCAACCCAACATACCACGAAAACACATTGATAGTAATAAAACATTAAATTTAATTTAGTAGAACTAAAGCAAAAATATAAAATGCCTTTTTTAACGAAATAAGAAATTTCGTCGTCCCTAAGGGTCTCAGTATCAGTGGACTAGCTCTCTTATTCTCCATTGGTGTTCATGGCGATGGATTTAACATTTTTAGGCCGAGAGACAGTGAGTTCATAAGTTTGAAGAAATCCTACGAGTTCTTCAATTTTAACAGCATCTAGGTCCTTACTTTTTTCTATTGCAGTAACCTTATATCTAAATCTCTCGGGCAGGGATATAAGAACATTTCTAACGATTTTGGACTCACGGATTCTTTCACCTAAGTTAAAGCTCGAATTCACTATGTCATTCAGTTTCGCATAGAATTCATTGAACGATTCATCGTCCTTCATCCCAATCTCTTCAAATCTAGTGGTTAACATCTGCAGTTTAGAATTCTTAACCGTCTTAGTTCCCTTGTGTGTGGTTTCTAGTATATCCCGAACTTTTTTAACAGTTTCACACATCGACACTCGCCTAAACTCTTCAGCAGATATAGCCATGAATAGAGCATGCAATGCTTTACTGTTCTAGTTGCATTCATTTAGGTTAATTTTAGTTTATAAAGATATGTCAGTGGGTGTGACTCTACCGCAACAGTTGTTGAAGGTGGATTCTACCCATTTTGAACGCTAATCCAAAAACGTTCATCCAAAGATTTAATGAAGGCTCTCATTCAAACTTTTCAATAGGCATAGTTGCTACCGTTGAAAAATGGAGGTTCAACAGAGGCACAAATAAGACAATGACTGATTCATCTAGATGTTATAAAGGGTCAGGAATCGAATTAAGGCATTGATACCAATTGAAAGTTATACAGTTCGACCCTAATAATACTTAGAGGGGGGTGAATATGTATATTGTGCGGAATTAAAATTTTTTTTTATGAATTAAATAGAAACAAGTCACTTTTTAATTCTTTTCTAGATGATTAAACATGCAAGTCATTTTAGTCCTACATTTGAATACCACAGTTGAT